TAAAATGGGGGTGGGGGAGGAGGGATGGGGATGAAGGGAAGGAGAGGGAGAAGGGATTTACATGTGAAACAAGCTTGTTCCCAAACTAGAACTAATAAATAAATTTTAAAAAAATTAAGCATCAAGATAACAATCCAATAAATAAATAAATAAATGAGTTGTAGGATTGAATATATTTCTCAAAAGAAGAAACACAAGTGCTAATAAAGTTTTTTCACATGTTCAACATCAGAAAATGCAGACTAAAATTGCGTTGTGGTGAGGAAGCTGAAGAATACTACATGTGATTCCACCCTACCTGACACTTGCCAAGTTTTCTCAGAGGTTGGAAGATGGCCTTGGATCCCATTTGGAGCTGGGGTCAAACCCAGGTACTCTATGAGAGCAACAAGTGCTCTTACCCCATTGTGCCATCTCTCAAGCCCTAAAAGATCCTTTTGTTAAAATAAATTACTCTTGATAACACAGCAGCATGCTCATCCCCAACTGGTTAGAGCACATTACATCACAGCAACACATCAGCACACAATAGACACTCTCCAACATTTTCTTCTAGATGACCTCCCTAGTAGAGCATTTAGAAGTCATCTCATTCTCACTATAAATACAGTCAACTGAAGACACTGTTCCACATCAATTCCACACCTCCACTCTTTACAATTTTTATTTGGGGCTGTATTTAAAAAACACAGGTATTTTCTCTATTCATGCTCATTTTTCTGTCCTACATAGGCTGCTATTTAATTCTGACTTTCCCAAATACACCCCGCAGGGCTAGTGAGCATCTATCTAGCCATTTTCTTGATAGGGAAACCCATAAGCAATAAATATGTATGCTAATTCAATAATTTATGCATTCATGGACTCATAAAGCATTCCTGAGCACCTATTCTATGTCAGGCTCGATGTTAGGACTTGAGAGTGGATGAGACAGATTCCCTGCTGTGAAATGTCCAACTTCAGCTCCCTTGAGGAGACAGGCAAATACATAACTCACCTCAATTCCATATGAGAGCTACAACATGAGTCCATGCAGATCACAGACAGACAATGGGTGATGCATGTTTCCTAGGAGGGTGGTGGGTATGGTGGCCAGTTTCAAAGAGAAGGTGGTGTTTCAACTGTACTGGAAGAATGAACAAAGCCCTAGGGTTGTGTAGTGTAGGTAGGTCTTCTAGGCAAAGTTAGTGATGCATGGTGATGCAAAACATGGTGATTCTTCTGATCATGCCTTCCAATGTGCCAAGAGCCTATGAGTGGGCAGAACTGTTAGATATTAGCCTGGGCAAGGGATACTGGTTTCAGTACATAAAAGACCTTGAATATCTTTATACAAGGTACACTTTTGTCCAGTAAGTCATGGAACTATGAGAATTTTTCATTGCAAAATGATCTAGCTGCAAGGATGAAAAGATCTGAGAAAAGTGGCCATTGCTAAAGATTGGAAACCCCGCTAGACATGTCCAAAGACTCAGAGCAGAACTCTGGAGATGAACACGGATGCAAAAGATGTTTGGAGAGTAAGAATAGACAGCATTTGTTAACAGACTGGGTATTTACCTCCCTGTGTTCATCATATATATTTTGGCCCATATATGATCAATAAGCTCCCCAACATGTGAGTAAAGGCACACAATGAAATAAAATTATTAACAATGACTCCTAATCAGCAACAGTGAGGTACTGGAGAGGAGACATTCTCTCTGGACTGATGGGGAATGTACTGTATATGTTCATCTTATTGATTATTGAATAAAGTACTGTTTGGCCAATGAGACAGCAAGTTAGACAGGACTAGGAGTCAAAGAGGATTCTGGGAAATGTAGTAGAGAAGTGGTGATCCAGGCAGGAAGTGACATAGCAAGGAGACTCATATTTAAGTAAGGAGAAACAGGAAGTGTCCCTTTTCCCCTCCGCTCTTCCTCCAGCAGCACAATGTGATCCACCAGCAAGGAATGACACCAATGGAAGGTGTCCAATAAGATAAGTCTTATAAAATATATAGATTTATGATAATTAAAACTGAGTTAACAGATGAGAATCCTAGTCATTGGCCAAGCAGCATTTGTACCTAATATAAGTCTGTGTATTATTTTGTCCATCCACGTGGCAGGCAGAACACTGGCAGCTGGCAGAGACCTCCCACGTGGCGGTAGAACTAGGGTGTCTTTTGGCGGAAAGATTTATCATAACACTGGACTCTGACTACTGGGTGAACCTTACACAAACCCCTTAGCTTTGTTCCTTCTTCAACTCTCAAGTGGCATGTTGACTAGGATGATTCGTTCGGAGGCTCCTCCAGCCCTCAACATTCTGTGAGTCAGACTCTTGGGATTAGTGGCCACCAACTCTGTCCTTCCCCCAGCTGAGTCACCTCTAAGGCAGGGAGGGGATTCTTTGGGGCTGAACAGGAAACATACACAGAGTCCACCCAAGTTCCATTCTCAGAGGCAAGAATAAGTAGGGAATGCCTGAAGTCAGGACAGATATCAGAGGCAGCTCCCCTCCGGTGATCATCCTGGCTGGTCCTGGAGACCTGTGCTCACTTCCTCAAGACTAGGGCCCCTGGACCAGGCCGTCTTCTTCTAAGGACATGCCCTCCCCCAGCACACACAACACAGGCATGTGGGTCTCCGGAATTCCTCTGTTTTTCCTGTTTGTATCAGTTCCCATGTCCAGTGTGCCTACTGATGCTATCCTAAGACTTTACCACAAGAAGGCAAAGGTGTCCTTCCTGGCTGCTTTCCTGAGAGTGGTTGAGAATTACAACTCACAGACAAGGTGTCTCCTTGGGGGTCTTAGCCTGTAAAGGGCTCCACCACTGTCTATTCCACTGCATGGAACTTAGTGAAGCCTACCATGGACTATTAAACACATCTGAGAGTCCTGGGCTTCCCACAGCAACCCCACATCGTTTGCCCACTTTAATGATGCAGAGAATGAGGTTTGGTGATTCATCAAAGGCTGAACTAGGATGTGGCCCAGCCAGGACTCAAACTGAGGTCTGTCAGGTTTCCAGTCCACTGTGTTCTCCCTCAGGAGCCAGAGCTAAGCCCTAAATAATCTTCAGCATGAGTGTGAACCATCTGAAAAGCCACTAAGTAGATTCCATGTCTTTTTTCACCCAAGAAAAGCATGGTCTAGTTTAACTTCAGGCCTAAAAGGCAAAAAATAAGTGGGTTACAGTTCACCACCTTACAGCACATTAAAGTTAGACTTCTAGGTTCCTCTTGATTCTCCCCAATAAAGTTGTAACTTACGAGATTTGCAGTGAAGAAACTGCGGAAGTCAGTCTTCCTGGTTTTACATCTCTGGTATCACAATGTTGCCCCAGACAAACTATGGAGACTAAGCCTCAGCCAACCTGTGTCTACATGGAGATGAGAGTCATACATACCTTGTCGTGTTGTTATGAGGGGTAAATAAGATCCTGCATGTAAAAAAGCATTTAACATGGAGTCTGGCATATGGCAGGAGCTCGATAAATCCCAGCCATTATTATTACCATAATATCTCTGTGCATAAATCTATCTGCAACTCTGATTGTTTTCTTAGGACAGATGCCAGAGGGTAAAATCACTGTATCAATGGGTGGCTCTTCATACATAATGCGTAATTATCCCCCAGAAATTGTCAAGCAGTTTATACATCCAACCCAGAATCGGCAAGGGAAATGCAACCACAGGTGAGGCGAAGAAAAACGTCTCAACGGCCAACGCAAGCAGCAAGCAGGTGACCATAGAAACTTTATTATTATTTATTTGGAGTGTGTATGTGCATTGCACACACTGAAGGCAGGAGACAATTTGTGGCAGTTCTCTGGTTCTCTTCTTCCACCATGTGGTTCCCATGGGTGACACTAAGGTCCTCACTTGTAGCATCAGGCCTTTAATCCAATAAGTGCCATAACACCAGCACTTTCTTTCTTCCTTTTTTTTTTTTTTAACATCAGACAGAGTTTCACATAGCCAAGAGTGACCTGGCAATCCTTATATCCTAAGGGTAACCTTGAACTCCTGATCCTGAGCTAGGTCGAGAATTCAGAACTAATATGAAGTCTCTGTGTCATGTTTTGGGAACTGATTGGTGGCTCAAAAAAGAAAGCGTGCTGCAATCTTCTACTTTCTTAACTCCATTGGAATGACTGACTCAAGCCCCTACATCTATGCCATCCTTTTACCTGTCACATGGAGATGACAGGTAAAACAGCCAAACCACAGACTTTGAGAGTCTGTCTGACCCAGCCAACAGTCAGCAGTCTGGAGGAAAATGTTCAGATTTTCTAAACTTGTTTCTGTTTCCTGAATGAAACATGGGTGAAGCCTCAAAGCCCTTTAGGGGTGGTTAAGTATAGTGTGTTTGTGTGTGTGTGTGTGTGTGTGTGTGTGTGTGTGTGTGTGGTTGGGTGTGTTGGGTCTGGTGCCAAGGAGGAAGGAGAACTCCAAATGGGAAACTGTTGCTTTCATTTGTCACTGGGGCATGTGATTGCCACTGAGTCATTCCCCAGTCATCGACTTCGAGCTTAGGCCAAATTTTTTTGATTCAGTTCTTTTGAGCCAGAATCATGGAGTAGCCATTCAGGAATGGGTGGACAGGTGGTATACTTAGGAGTCAGAGAAATGCTATGACCCACAATTGTGACTTCAGTTCTAGCTGAAAATATTGCAGAGCTCCAGGAGAAAGGAATCACTTCAGCAGGTGTGTTTGGAATCTGGCAGAGAGCTCTGGTCCTGGGCCAGGAGCACTGAGCAGGCTTGAATGGCTTCTGTGTTGATTCCCTGGGACTGAGACCCAGGAGGGAGAGCAAGGGAGAACTCTGGGGTAAATACACAACAGGCAGACAGTGGCTGATTTTTCCTTAGGCTCTCCATGTCTCTTGCACAAATGTGGCCAGAGTCTGAGGCCTTCACCAACCCTTGTCCAGATCATGGATCCAAGAGGCGTTCCCAAAATAGCTCAGACTCTGGGCCGGTCTGGGAGAGACATAAAGATTCATTTACAGGGGAAGGTGACCGCTCTGAATTTCTTCAGCAGACTAGTCTATGCTAATGCTCTACTCCCTCAAATCTGGGATTTCTATAACCCGCTCCTGTCCTTGTCATTGCCAGCAGAAAAGTCTGCATTATCTTAATTCCAGAATGGAAATTATTCCAATTTTGAGGCCGTCATTTTAAAGCTGTCAAGGTCAATATTTTTAACAGCCTAGAAAAAAAATTTTACAACTGGAAAATGTCTAAACATGTTGTGCTTGAGATCTTGAGACAACTGGGGGAAATCTGGGATGAGATGGAGTAAGGAATGTTCTATGCTAAGTCCATGGCTAGGGGAAGACATTCATTTGTCCTATCTCCAATTTGCCTGGGTAGGGTCCCAAATCAGGACACTTGCCTTAACCACTTTCAATTGTCTGTTGTCTTCTATTTATTTTTTTATAAGTAAGTCATTCATTTTTTATCCTGACTTTATTGTTATTGTTAATAAAGCAATTAATTCCTAAAAGAAAAATGGTCGATGAAAAGAAAACAAGTCATGCCTTAATAGCCTGTACGTTTTCCAAGTGTTATTTCACTTCTGTTTGCATTCCCATCATCCATTGCTCTTTGAGGCCTGGCTACTGCATGTGTCACTCACTGCCCTAGAGATGCTAGGGTCAACTCTTTTAAGTGGAGGAAGGAAGCTTCCAGGGAACTCCCTTGTACTTGGTCAGGAAGAACGAATGGCTCCTTTTCAAGATTTACCTATCAGTTTCCATCCAAGTGACTCAGTCATTTCTACCTGATTAACTTTCCCGGACAGAAACCCGAGACTGAAGGAAGTGCATCCATAGGCAGGAGAACAGCTCTCTCCAAGCGGAATCACAATCAGGCTTTGTGCTTGGGCTAACAGGCCATTGCTAGCACCTGGGGGGAGGGGGAGCTTGCCAGGCAGGGAGAAGACAGAACCAGGCAAGTGGACACCTCTGGATGCCACTGCTCTAGATGCCACCCTGTGCAGTCCCTGGGGAAGAGGCTGGAAAAAAATCTCTATTATGGGCCCATCTCCTAGTCAGGAGCTGGCAAACACCGCGCCCCTGTTACTCCGAAGCAGGATTAATTGATTGGTCTCATATGAACCTAAAAGCCGTTAAGAGCAGGGAGGATGAAAAGCAATTCAAATTGCTTTATTACGATTTTGTACTAAAGTACCAGTTTAGTCCTCAGCCCTACTGTGACGCAGCGGGTTTCCAGATATTGACTGCACTGGCATGTGCTGCTCCAGGAGAGGAAATGCCTGGGTCTGCCGAGCAGAAACATCTGCTCAGCTCTCCAGCAGGCCTGTTGCTGGAACCAGGGAGGGGGCTCCCCTCCAGGTGGTGTCACTGCAGGCAGGAGACAGAGGAAGCACTCCCGAGGGGAGGATTGGAGACTGTGGGTGGAGACTCCTCCTTGTTGTTTTCAAAGACTTCATTCACTGCATGTGAGAGGGAATTATAAATGGTTTTCTAAAACGGTCTGTAGACTTCCCATAGCAGAACAGCAGCATGATTATTGTGGCTGGAATGAGCATGACAATAAAGATTGGCTTCTCAGGCTTTGGGATGGGAGGCACAGAGTGTTTTGTGCATCTTAATCCACTTCATCCTCAAACGGCGCTCCTTGAAAGGCATCTCTACAATCACTCTTTTAAAAATGGAGAAACTGAGGCACACAGGAGAAGCAGTTTGTCTAATTACAGAAGCCAAGCTTTGAGTGCGGCCATGGCTGCAGCACTCCTGACATTAATCCCTAGCTGTGGGAATAGGTGCCTCCACACAAGCTTTGGTCTCTACGGAAAGCAAGAGGTGGACATTAAGGTGCCCAGTGGTTAAATGGACAAAATGCAGCCTGGAGGTATAAAGTGGTTTGTTCGAGGTCACTTGGATAATAATTTGCTCAAGGTCACGAGGATCATAAATGTCAGAGCCTGGTTTAACTCTGAGTTGGGGCTCTTGTAACAGCTAGGCTCCCATTCCCTGACCTTCCAGCTTGGTCTTGGGCTGAGCTAAATGGAAATCTAGCACAGAAAGAAAGCCAATAGGAAGTATTAATAATTATAACTTAAAAACGGAAGTAGTTACCATTTATTGAGCACCCATGACTTGTAAAGGTGTCTCTTAAGCATGAGTAGTTTAATCCCCACAAATTCCTACAAAGCTTTATTACCCCCAATCACCTAAAAGGGAGACACAAAAATCAGTTCCGTGTCAACTCACTAATCATGAACAAACCAGAGGCGAAATTAAGAAGACAATCCCATCTACAGCAGCATCAAAAGGACAAAAAGCTTAGGAATAGAGCTACTGCCAAAAGTGCAGGCAACAACCAAAAGCTGTATAAATTACACCTGAGCAAAATTAACAACTTCTGTGCATCAAAGGACACCATCAAGGGAGTGGAGAAAGTCACAGAGTAGAAGAAAACATTTACAGGTGGCCAGGGATTATGGTTCTGAACATACAAAGAGCTACTACAACTCAACAACAACAAACCCAATTCAAGTGAATTTCAATAACCTTTTTTCTAAAGGACACATACAAATTTCTAATAATCACATCAACAGATGCCTAACACCACCAATCATTTAGGAAATACAAATAAACACCCGTTACATCAACAAAGCAATGACAAAATGAAGAGTATTGAAAATGCTGAGGGAATAGAATCACTGTTCCTGCGCTGCCAATGTGAATGGCACAGCTATTCTACAAAGCAATGTGGCACAGGCTCTAAACATAGAATTACTATAAGAGCTACCATTTTTACTTTTGATACACACCCTCAAAGAAGTGAAGTTTCAGACTGGCTTTTGTACACCATGCATATAACATGCTTGTTCAGAGTGTAAATAATGTGGAATCAATCCAACTACCATGAATGATGAATGGATAACAAAACCAGTAGACTCATCCAAAAGACATTACTCACCCTTAAGATGCCATGAGAGTCTGGAACATGGGTGAACTTTGAAAATACTATGCTGAGAGAAGAGAAACAATGAAAGGACAAATACTGTATGAGTCTACCTATATGGAATGCCTAGAATAGCCAGACTCCTAGAGACAGGAAGTAGAATGATGAGAGATGGGAGGGAAGCCGGAAGGATGTTGGTTAACAGATGCAGGGTGTCATGGCTACACTGCAAATGGCCCCCATAGGCTCAGAGGGAGCGGCATTGTTTAAAAGGATTAGGATCTGTGACCTTGTTGGAGGGATGTTTCACTAAAGGTAGGCTTGGGGTTTCATATGTTCAAGCAAGGCCCAGTGCTGCCTGGGGATCCAGATGTAGAACTCTCAGCTATCTCTCCAGCACCATGTCTGCCTGTATGCCACCATGCTTCCCACCATGATGATAATAAACTAAACCTTTGAAACATAAGCTGCCCCCAGTTAAAAGTTTTATTTTATAAAAGTTGCTGTGGCCATGGTGCCTCTTCACAGCAATAGAACTTTGACTAAGACACAGAATTTCAATTTAAGATGATGAAACATTTAAGCTGACAATATCTACATAATAATGTGAATGAATTTAACACTATTCAGTGATGTGCTTTTAAAAAACACTTTTTTATACTTACAAGTGTGTGTGTGTGTGTGTGTGTGTGTGTGTGTGTGTGTGTGCACATATATAAACATATACATACAGTATGGATGTATAGATGTGCACTGGTTCATATGGCATTTAGAGGACAGTTCATATGAGTCAGTTCTCTGCTT